GCGCCGGCTCAACACGTGAAGCCTTGCGCTGCCAGGAGAAGTTCGTCGGCCGCCTCCGCGGTGGCGAACTCCAGATCGCCGAGTCGCCGACTGCGTTGGCGAAGATGCGCAAGATCTCGTCGTGGGGGCTGTGGTCTCTTGTCCATCCCTCACATCGTGCTCTGCCGCAATCGTCCCTGGACACGGCATCGGCGACGTTGGCCTTGCATGGCACCCCCTCGAACTCGACAAACCATCCGTGATACGCGGCTAGCGACCAGAACGCCGAGATCATGTCATTGATTACTGTGTCTTTGCCGTAGCCTTTAGAGAACACCGCCTGCCCCGCCGTGTTGTCGATGAACGCCATGATCGACTGCGGCAGGTGCGTCGCGAAGGTGACGAAGGCAACGAGTTGGGGGAAGACCTCGAGCATGTAGATGTAAGCCTTTCTCGTCCAAAACAGTTTAACGAAACACTCCGGCACCACGCCGGCGTAATAGACCTTCCTGCCGAGGCGGAGTACATAACCCCATCCATTCGTCGCTCGTTGGTGCGGCGTTGGGTTGCGCCCTTCTGGCACGTGGCCCGGCCACGTCCATGTCCGCCGCGTCGTAGAGGATGAAGCGCATATCCTGATCAATGACCGAAGGGCCGGCGACAAGCCCGGCGAGAGATGGTCAGCTGTCCGTTCGGCGGTGTCCGTCGCACTGGCATAGGTATGCATAGATCATCATACATCGCCTTGGTGGCTGCCCTCGCCATGGAGCCAAAGACCGCCTGTGCGAGGAATGCCACCCTCCCAGCCAACTTCGCCGCTTCGTCTGGTGCAAGCGCGTCCTCGTCGACGGCCCGGTGCAGCTGCTCCAGGATCTTCTTCACTCGTATCGGCGTTGGGCTCAACATGATCCCGTTGGTGCCGAGGTGGAAGGTGACCCCCTGTACCATGTGCTCCGGCACCGGGGGTTGTGCCTTGGATGCTTTGGTCAGGAAGCCGCGGGCGGCGAAGGGGTCCTGAAAGGCTGAAAGGAGTCTGCCGCAGCCTCACCCATGATGTTATCGTCGAGGCCGTTGAAGTCGTCGACATAGTG